AACCATTCTTTGAGGGTCAAACTGCTAGTGAAGGCCGAAGAGAATCATTAGAGTGAGATTCTTTCTCTATAAACCCCTGAGATGATCTTCTAGTGACTGAAGTTGAGATTACATTACTCCATTCTGAAACCATGTGCATACAGTTTATTTAACTATTTTACTGTGATTGTTCATCATTTAAGAGTAGATGTTTATAGGGAAGTTTCATTAATGTGGTTGATATGATACTTCATGCAAGAAAGCAAGTAATATGAAATATCTTAAAGGTTTAATGGCAATAATGATGATAGTATACTGTTCTATTATTGAGATTCTAATGGTTAAAATTCTTTTGTCATTTAAAATGCTTTCAACAGCAAGTTGTTAAGTGTGGAATTCCAGAGCCCTAGAATAGAATAGAAACAAATATATTTAACAGTACTAGTCACTGCTGCAACAATTTGTAGTCAGGAAACCTCATGGGTAATAGTTTGTAAACTCTATGTTTGAGTCCAGTTCTACAATATAATTACTGCATAACCCCACACAGATTTCTTGGCTACTCTAATTTTTTACATACTAAAAAGAAATAATGGTATATAGTGCCTGCTTCTTGGAGCCACAATAAAGATTCAGAGAGGTAGGGAAGTTGGGACAGCATCAGCAAGCATAGGACATTGTGCAGTTGGTTAACTGTTAGCAAATAGTACCAAGAACCACTACCAGTAGCCAGTAGTCTTTAACCATATCTGATGATAAAAAGTGAATTGGCATTTTTACCACTTCTTAGGTAAATTTAAAGCCATGTTATAAATTGTAAGTCATGTTTAAAGATTGGAAAAAGCCGTCTGCCTTATTTTTCTTTTATCCTTGCTTGCTCAGTATCCATTATTTTAGCTAAAACTAAGAATCAGGATAATCTGTGATAATTAAGAACACACCACACTGGACAGTGAATAATGGGTACCAAAATGTATTTAGAGGAGAAAAAGTAATTCTGATGTTCTGTAGCGCAGTGATCTATCTATAGTCTTCAACAGTATACTTCACAATAATCAGAGAAGAGCTATGAGAGTCTCAACACACAGGGGTGATAATATTTGAGAATATGGACGTGTTTATTACCCTGATTTGATCATACACATGGCATATATATATATATATATAAACATTACTGTACCCTGTGTATCAGAGCTTCTTACCTGTTTCTACTCATGACCCTTTTTACCCAGGATATTTTTATATGACCCTTGTATATAAGCATATAAAATAGATCTACAAATCAATGATTTACTGAAAAGAAATCATAAAGAATTTTTTTGGTCTTTTTGAGACAGGGTCTCCCTGTAGACCAAGCTGGCCTCAAGAATTTATTTTAAAATAATTCTTTGGTATACATATAATTTTATCATTTACTAAAGACAAAAGCAAATTTGCATGCTTGTTTGTGTTTATTTTTGCATGAAGAAGTAAATCTTGGTTGAGTATTTGGTAGTGCAGGATGTGCATCATCTTCAGTGTTTTTCAGATTTAATCAATATTTTTATTTTTATAATCATTAATCCAGTGCATACCATATAGCATGAATACACAATACAAGTGGCAGAAGTCTATCTAGGACTATTTCAGAAACAGTTGGAAATTCTGCCCTAATCTCAAGCCAAAAATTATTTAGCAATTTTTATGGAAGGCAGATCAGCAACTCAAATGGCAGTTTTTAAAATCAAATAACAACACAATCCCAAATACTGATTTGAGACTCACGTGCTGAGGAATGATAGTAGGAAAATCTTGAAAGTCTTTCTTTTCCATAGTTAAACCAATATGTTCATGTAAGAGCAAGAAACTTTGTAGATACAGTTTTTAAAAACTGCATTTTATAGCATACAGTAGTCTCAAATCTGAGCTCAAGTGTTTGAGGCAGTATTTGTTAGCATTGTGTGCAAGGTACACATGTGTATGTTCAAAACCAAGACTGTGGTGAACATCATGATGCTGCATGGGCAAGCATTACCAGAAACACCAGATTCATTCTGCATTTGATTATGAGATAATTTTGGTTATTCTGTGTTCAAAATCCTTTTGCTGTTGTCAGAACTTTCATGATCATATTCAACCCACAGTTTAAGAAGATGGGCTATAAGTAACCATAAATATTAGGTCATTTAAAAAGTATTTTAAAAATACCAATGTTTAGTCAAACTATATTTTATTGTATTTTAAGTCAAAGATTAAAAGAGATTCCATGGGTAGAAAACTGAAATAACTGACTCTCATTGATTTCTGGAATCTGTCCATGGCCTGTGCTGTTCTATATTCTGTATGCTTTTGGTGGTGGTCCTTTTTAAAACCCTGCTGTGAAAGTCCACAAGTCAAAAGGTAGATCCATAAACACGGGGAAACGCAACTGTCATCTAAGTAATAATCAGTACGCACAGACCTCTTCTTTTGTTATGCACTGATTTTTCACTTACCTGGAGGACTGAAGCAAAAGATAGTGAGGAACCCATGGAAAATAGTTGTTGGGCTTTTTTCTGACTTAACCAATAAAGTTTGGATATTTTTCCAGTGTTATGCCATACATCAAAACCTTCTCTCTTAAGTGCATGTCTCTGTTTCAGCTTTTCTTCCATATCACAGTGGCAGATCATACTGGAAAAGGTCTAGAAAACTGAGGGGTGGTCTTTATCGTTAGAATACTGCAGTCCAGGTTCAAAAGGACTAAAAAATAGGAGGTGTGAAATCAAGTATTTTAAGCATAATGCACTTATGTCCTAAAGCCAAATTTGGGGGAAACTTTCAAGTCCCAAATATTCTAATTGTAAGTGCATTAAACATGGAATCCAGAGTTAACCACATCGCTTACAAATAACAAAGTTGATATTGATAAAGCTAAATAACAGGGTTGCATCACCAAAAGGTCAAGAACAACATCAAAATAAAACTATGGCCAGCTTGGAATACCAGAACAAAGCACTGGTGCTTGCTTTCTTCCACTAACAGGCAACTCAACTGTCCATGCATATAGTTTCAACATTTTCAAGCAAGGTGACAGCTCTGCAGCCAGTTCAGCTTTGCAGGATACAGGTACTACTCAAAGTTGAGAACTGATGGAGCCCTAGTCAAAACTAGCCAGTTTATGTTAACATCAAATGACTTTAACAAGTCATTAAGAAAGTTACTGATAAGGACCCCTTGAAAGTCAAAATGAAAGTTAATAGCTTTGTGCATCATTTGCAAAGTCTCATTCCATATATGGACACATGCATGTTTGCACTTTGTTGTCTGTTAGTAGCCCATCACGAGAGCTATGGACCAATCTTTGAGGCTCATCCCCTTACCTTCCCACACATTCACTTGCTCATACTTTGGCTTGGTACAAAGAATTCCCCCATGTTTCCATGTTGATCTTTACTGTGTTAAAGGGAACTCTTCTTTATTGTAGATCTTACAGAGCTTCTTGAGTATTATCTCAGGAGAAATTAAAACTTCGGTTTGAGGATTTGCAGTAGAATATTATCTACTGAATAAGCTTTCCCTTGACCCAGCCACACTCTCTGACATTTGTTTAAGAACGAGCCATTGTATTGGTTACTTTTGTGTCATTATGGCCAAATTCCTGACAGAAACAAGAGAGGAAAGCTTTGCTTTTGGCTCGTGATTTCAGAGCCATGGGTTGGCCTCATACAACTGGGCAAAACGTTAGGGCAGGAGAAGCATGTTAGAGAGACTGTTCTTTACTTCATGCACAGGAAACCAAGAGCACAGCAGGAGCTAGTCAGGAATGACACACCCCTGAAGACCTGCTTCCTCCAGGCAGGCCCCACCTCCCAACATTTCCAAACAGCACCACCAGTTACCATTTCAGTGCATGAGCATTTTGGGGGAACATTTCATATCCAAACCATAGTAGCCATATTTACATGTATAAGAATATTTATTGTGACATTCTTAGTGGTTAGAATTGATAAATAACTAAATTTTATCAATAAATTTAGAATTTCTGTCTGTGCAATGAAATGCTGCCTGGCTAATCCCAGAGGAAAATAAGGTTTCATATAAACATCTGACACAGAATATCTTCCAAGATATGTTGTAAAGTTGCAAAACAGTATAATACGATACTATATGTGTGCTTTTAAAGTCAGATATGCTTACTTAGGTAAAGGCAGCATAGAATTTATATTACATTACATTGGATAGGGACTGCAGTAATGATCAGTGTTGTGTGTGTTTTGTGCAGTGAAGCAATAGGCTGGGTTGTTCTTTTTACCTTTATAGAGTAGGATGAGGACAGAGAAACGGGTGCATTTCTTTATTTTGCATGTTTTATAGTCTGATTATTTTTACGGTGAACATGCATTTTATAATGAGAAAAACATTCCATAGGAAAAGATCTAGAAAATGTATTCATGCTTAAATATTAACACAACAAAGCAATAATACTTTCTTTGGTCCCACAGCTTGCTGGCTTTTGTCATGGAGAAGTCTTTCTCTCTTCCTTTCTTCCTTATGTGTAAATCGGATATAAGTAGCAGCTGTAGAACTGTACGGTTTTAAAGTTATAAGAATTAAATGAGCTAACACTTAGAAGCATTTGTACATTGTATAAGTGTTCAATAAGTGTAGCTACTAGTGTTTGTCATTTTGACTAGTATCTAGATGTGTATTATCCAACTAGTTGTTTACAAATTATGGTCTTAAAAACATTACTGAAAGGGCTAGAGAGATGGCTCGGCACTTAAGAGTACTAGCTACTCTTGCAGACAACCCAGATTTGTTTCTCAACACCCAGGTGGCATCAAACACCATCTGTAACTTCAGTTCTAGGGGATCCAACGCCTTCTTCTGGCCTCCATGAGCATTGTACACATGGGTGCACTTACAGACATGCACCCAAAACATTCATGCACATAAATAAAAATTTAAAAATTTTTTTGAATCATAGTCTGTTTTAAGTTCATCTGTATCTTTCTGAGGTATAGAAACTAATTTTGGTTATTCACTTCTTTGTATTACAGTTACAAATTATAACACTGTGGTAGAAGCAAACTCAGATTCAGACGATGAAGATAAACTCCATATTGTGGAAGAAGAAAGCGTCACAGATGCAGCCGATTGTGAAGGAGGTGTGCCAGAAGATGACCTGCCAGCAGACCAGACAGAATTACCAGGAAGCAGTGAAAGAGAAGGTGGTGCCAAGAACTGCTGGCAAGATGATGGTAAGATTAGTTTCTTAAATTCTGTGCTCTTTATTATATTTTAATGTGGCAACTGAAAACATAAATGAACACCAAAATTATTTGCATATTAATCAATATTAGATGTCCTACTTATTTTTAAAAAGTAAATTGTGGGGCTGGAGAGATGGAGCAGCAGTTAAGAACACTGGTTATTCTTGCAGAAGACCTGGGTTTGAATCCCAGCACCCACATGGCAGCTAACAACTGTCTGTAACTCCAGTCCTAGGGGATCCAACAGCCTCTTCTACAGGCATTTCATGACATGGGTGCACATACCTACATGCAGGCAATACGTGCATACACATAAAGTAAAAATAATAAAATATTTTTAAAAAGTAAATTGCAAATCAGAATGTTTTCACAATTTATAGAGGATCTAAAATATATTGGATTTTAGTAGAACTCAACTATATTGCTTATATGATTGAATCTACCTTTAATTTCATATTGGAATCCCTAAATTAACAATCTACTTATAAAATAATCAACATTTTAGTGTGGTAAAATGATAATTCAGTGTGGTAAAAATCTCAGACTTTGATGGGGGTATTTTTAGTGTTATAAGCATCTCTTACCATGAACTGAAAACAAACCCTCTACTATCTGTGCCATCCCCAAAGTTAACCAGTGAAGTTGCCTGGGCAGAGTGTTAGGACAGTGGAGAACTGTGAGAAGATGCCATCATACATGCTACTGTACCCAGATTTGAACCTTGCTTAACATTGCTGAGCAGTAGATTATAAAAATCTTCATCCATATTTGAATTTAATGTATAGGTATTGCAGATATCCCTAGACACTAAGCATAAACTTTCAGCCTAGCACTATGGAAATCTCCCACATAATTTGCACACTTGCATAGACAGCAACATGAGTGAGAAAGAAAAAGAAGGTAAAATTACCTCAGATGATTCTGATTGTAAAATGTTCTGTCCTGTTTAAGGAAGAACAATTTTAAAATTAGCTACTGATATAAGAAAATATTAGTTCCAAACCCATGGGCACACAGATAGCCCTGGTTGATCTCAATGGGTCACAAAACAAAATTGAATAGACATGGATGTGAGAAAGGGATTTGTGGGCAGGAGGGAGATTGATGGGTGGTAGACAGGTGAGGGTTGGGAGTAGTGTTTAGTGTATATTACATTCCTATTTGAAATTGTCTAAAACCAAATTTAATTTTAAACTACATGAAAAAATAATATAGCTTCTAAAAACTGAAAATTAGAGTGATAACTCAAAATGGATTTAACAGCAAGTTAAACATAGTTAAAGCAAGTGAAATTTGGACAGACATACAAAAAAAGAGGTTAAGAGACATCAATACTAATGTGCGTGTTAATTGCAGTTGGTTAGAGAATAGAGCAACAGTAGTATCTGAAGCAGTAATAGCAAATATCTTTTCAGAAAGGATGAGGGAGTCAAAGGGAAAAGCCTGGCTCCATCTTCAAGTGTGGCCCCAGAAAGGGATAGAATGCACAGCAACCAGTGTGTGTTTCTCAGAAACCTGCTCTAGTTGCTCCTAAGTGGACTATTCCAAGAGACCCAGTTGTCGAAAAGAAAATTCAAAGACAGAAGGAATATTGAAAACACTAACAGAAAAATGACCCATCACAAACAAGGGAAACATCAAAAAATTATAAAATTTATGAGCAGAAACTTTTTTATTGATTTTTTTATGTGTGTGTATTTCATACAGAACATCCCAAACAATCTTATTCATCTTTATACCCGCATCCCAAATGGCACCCTCCCATAGCCTCCCCCCCCCGACAAATGGAGCCCATATATTGTCATCCCTGTTACTGCTCACTGTGTTGTCTGTACCCCCACCTGTTCCCCAGTGCAAGTCCATCTGCTGATCCTAGTCAGCCCATCTAGAGTCCCTTGTTTTAGGAAGATCAGCTCTTCTTCATCTAGCAGCAACCAGTTGCCAACATTCCTTTAGATAAGATTGGGATCTGCCCTTCATTTTCCCAGTTCTATGCTGGGTTACTGCCTGGCTTGGGCCACCCTGGCCAACAACTCAAAGGATGGTATCTCCTGTCTGTCATTGTTTCTTGTTATGTAGCCTTTATCTATACACATGGACTCTTAAAGAAATATACTGATCACTTTAATTTTTGGAGAAGAGTCAACACAGAGAAAAAATGTCTTCCATGCTTCCAAGTGAATCCAGCCACGGACAAGGAGGACCTTTGACTTATCTTCACCTAGATGGGACTGGTAAAAGAAAGGAGCCAGGGGCTCCTCCCAAGCCCATGTGACCCCTGAGAAACAGATCCTCTAACAACCTGAAGAGTAAAAATAAATTGGTTTATTTAAGCCAACTGTATGGTCTTAAACACCCAAAAGGAAGGTATAACCAAAGAGGAGAAACTTTTAAAACAAGCATAAAGTGAGATAATATATTCCACAAGTGCTGAAAGAAAAGCACTGCCACCCAAAAATACTGTACCCAGCAAAGCTGTCTTTGAGAACTGAAGAGGTAGAAACTTCCTTGGACAAATGAAAACTGAGGAAGTTGAACAGCATTAAAACTGTTTGAATGTTTAATGTTTATAAGGAAAACTCACGTCTTAGTTGGCAAAGTGTTTGCCATACAAGCATGAGGACCTGAATACAACCCCTAGAATCTACATAAAAAGCCAAGGGTAGTGTATATCCTCCAGTGCTGGGGAGGCAGAGGTAGATAGATCCTTGGTGCTCACTAGTCAGTGCTTAGCCTAATTTGCGAGCCCAGGCCCTAGTGAGAGACTCTGTCTCCTAGAAAAAAATGGATGGCTTCTGAAGAGTGACACTAGGAGTTGACCTCTGGCCTCCATAGCCTCATGTGCATGTACGTACACACACACACACACACACACACACACACACACACACACACACACACACACAAAGGGAAAACTCAAGTGAATTCTTCAAGTTGAAACAATATTAATTAACAACATAAAAACATGAGAATATGAAATACACTCATGAGTAAATATATATATATATGAATTCAGAATACTCTAATACTATAGTGATAGTGCATTAATCACTTTCAGATTGAGTATAAAAATTAAAAGAAGTTTTAATAGTAAGAGAGCTTTGAGTAGATGTATAACTTAAAATAGATTGTGGTACCAGTAACATAAAATGTAGGAGGGAAAGAGTCAAAATCTACAATTTTTTAGGATTTCATTTTTTAATTTTAATTTATATATCTGTATATATGTATGCATATATGCATGGGTTTATGTGCATGATATCGTGCCCAAAGAGGCCAAAAGAGAGCATCAGATCACCTTTAGCTATAGTTACAGGCAGTTGTGAACTGTCCAACTTGGGTGCTAGGCACTGAACTTGGGTCCTTTGCAAGAGTGATATGTGCTCTTAACTGCTAAGCCATCTTTCCTGCCCTACGTACAGTTTTTGTAAGTGATGGAAATTAAGCTGTTACCAGCTTAAATAGACTATCATGACTAGAAGATGGTGTCTGTAAGAAACATGGTACTTACAAAGAAAAAGCTTGCATTATAATACACACAAAACCTAAAATAATCAAAATATACCATTAGTAAGAAAGCATCAAACAACAAAAGGCAGACAGCAAGAGGAACAAAGGATCTACAGAACAGTAAAAATAGGTATCAAAGTGGCATTAGGAAGCCTAATTTATCAGTAATTAAATGTAATGAATTGTAATCAAAAGTCATAGAGTGACTATATTGATTTTTTTTAATTCCAACTACAAAAGACTTACTCTATTTTTAAAAGACACACATAGGCCAAAAGAGAAAGGATGGAAAGAGATGTTCATGAGAATGGTAATTAAAGGCGAGCAGGGGTGACTGTCAGGCAGAATAATAGAATGTAAGAGAAGAGTCACCACAGACAAAGTCACCACATAATGATAGAGAGTTAATTTATCAAAAACATGTTAACAGGGTCAGCAAGGTACCTCAGTGGGTGAAAGTACTGCCATTAAGCTTGATGACCTGAGTTCAATTCCTGGGACCCATGACCCATGTAGTAGAAAAAGATAGCCAACTGCACAAGTCAAACTCTGACCTATGCGCGCACGCGCGCGCGCACACACACACACCAAACAAATAAATGTAATAAAATACTAAAATGTGTTAGCAAATATCTAACATAATAGAACTTAGGGAGAAATATCAATATAATAATCATAAAGGTCTTCAACACTCCACATTCAACAGTGAATGCAGCAGTCAGATGAAAAAATCAGCCAATCGTGTAAAAACCACCCCACCCTGTACACTAACTTGCAGACCAGTCTCCCACCAGAAGTCAGGTTGACAACTGAAATTAACCATCAAAACCCCATTTTCCTTCAGCAGGTCAAAGGAATAGCCATAAAACAATTACTCAGTAAATGGCAAAGATCAGCGTATTAATACAGGCAGAAAGTCAGACAAATCTCCGAAGAATTATCCTGAGTGAAAGAAGTAACTTCTATAATCATTCCATTTGACATTTTTAATAAAGAAAAGGTTTTTTGTTGTTTCGTTTAGGTTTGGGTTTGGGTTGTGTTAGGTTGGGTTGAGTTAGGTCTGGGTTTGATTTGGTTTGATACAGGTTTCCCTGTAGCCACAGCTGGCTTGGATTTGCTATGTAAACCAGGCTGGCTGAGTTCTGCCTGCCTCTGCTCTGCCTCCCAAGTGCACCACCATGCCCAACTGAGAAAACTTGGTCGATAACAAATCATTGGTTGTGAGGAGTTAGAAGGAGAGTAGTGGACTAGCCCTGGGAGTTTGGGGGGTAATGATGGAACTGTTTTGTATCCTGATGGTAAATGTGGTTCCATAGGTCTATGCATGCCTTAAAATGTACAGGCCTGAGCACCAGAAGAAATAACAATGAGTTGTTTCTCTCTCTCTCTCTCCCTCTCTCTCTCTCTCTCTCTCGCTCTCTCTCGCTCTCTCTCTCATTTCTTATATAGAACCTTTAGCCCAGGTGGCACCAGTGGTA